TGCTGCCATGAGTCCTCAGCCTGGCCACCTCCTCATTTCACTAGCAGGCAGCATAGCATGTCCTCTGGGGGAATATTTAGCATCAGTGTGTATATGTGGAAGAGAGAAGAGACAGCATGTGACAAACAAGTGACATAAACACAACTTGTTAGCCTGGTGAAGCAGATCCACATGACAGGATGGATTCCAGAAAAAAAGTGATGGATTGAGCCAGTGAAGACTATTATCCAGATACACTTGCTGCCTTCATTTGCCGCTTAACCATCATCTACAAAACTCCACTGCCTGAGTTTTCTTTTAGCTGTGACCATATGCAGTCATCTGTCTGCAAGTCACGAAAGCAATCGGAAACTTTTACGTCTATGAAGAATGACTGAGCTAGCGGTGGATGACACTCCCTCCCAGTCTGTTACTGGGAGCCGTGTGTTCTGGTGTGTGTGTGTGTGTGTCCATTTATTGCAGGCACCACCGGACAGAGAGACAGCTGGTGAAACGGGATGCATGTGTAGCTGTCTGGAATAAAGTTTCTTTCCAAAGGCAAAACTCCGTGTCCCCTCATAGTCAGTGCATCATTCGTCTTCAAAGCTGCACACCGCTGCTACACACACACACAGTAAGGGTCAAGGCAAAGAAGAATGCCACGTGCACAATGTTGAATCAACACAACACAAACACACAACACCGTCAGGGGCGTGAACGCATTACAACTCCAGTGTAGTAGGCAACAGCACAGCTAGTGTTAGCTAGTTAGTAAAAAGCTAACCGTTAGCTGGTGCTAGCAAATGGCACAAACCCATCTTAAATGTTAGCTATGTCCCACTATGAAGCTGAAAAAGAAAACCCAGCATCATATCTTCATTTATTTATCCGTGTTTAAAACGTTTCTTTCCGGGCGAAAAGCCGAGATTTGTTTTTGAATGTTAGTGATGCTTTCAAATAATCAAACCATGGTTTATTTACGCTGAGTGAACGGTAAAAAGCCGGTGAAGTGCCAAGTAAGCTATAAAATGACAGCACATTTAAACTGTATTTTCTAGGTTAGCTGGCCCACGACGTCCACCTCGCTAAACTGCTTGAGTGGGAACAATATTAATCATTTACTGCCCAGTTACCCAGCTATCTTTAGTCAGCATGAACTTGAAACGGCACAGAAAAGCCATTTGCTTCAAGCGAGTAACATTCACGTTAGCTAAAGCCAGCTAGCTGATACGGTGACGCTTTATTTTAAACGGATAGCCGAGAAAAGAACAATCCATAAGGCCCATTAAAACCACCATTTAGAATGAACACATTGGTTATCTAGCACCCCATTTAGCGTTAATATCGGACCATACACCCCGCATTTGACCGTTCCTTTCCCCGTGTGAGGAATACCGTTATACAGTATCCCGAGGTGAAGCTGTGTAGTTGAATGTAGCCGGGCAGGACTTACCTTGCTTGCTCTCTATTTTTCCCGACATTTTCGTAGCCAGCAGCTGTGATCCCACTCGCAGTTCACCAGAACGCTAGCTACAGACGAACCTCGCCGTGTGCCTCCTCCGATTATTCCCTCATTTTCGATATACTCTTGTGTCCATGAGATGATTCCGCCAGGGTTAGTATCATATATTTATAGGCCACACACATTGGTACGGTCAAAAACTACCTCGGTCCGTCTCCGGGTGATTTTCACTGGATATATACACACACACATCACACGCACGTTCATGTACCTAGATTCTGAAGGGCTCATCCAGTATAACAGCGCCCTCTTGTGTGAGGAATTAGTCATATCAATCTGTCAACAAGGGGATGGGCGTGTTTCCACCAAGTCAGTTTTAACAACCCAGCGTTTGTCTGTTTGCAGCAGTGGTGGAAGAAATGCTCTAATTAAATACTTAGGTAAATGTAGCAATACCACGGTGTATAGGTTGGCTGCTGTTACTTGGGAACGTGTTACTTAGGTAAAGGCAAAAAAGCATTATCAGCTAAATATACTTCTGGTACCAAAAGATTGATGCAGAATGACTCATTTTTATTTATGTTATGTATGTTCCCGGATTATAAGTATTGATGCATTAAGTGTTCATCACTTCAGTGTTGCAGTTGGTAAAGATTAGAGTCTTATCTAAACCTACAATAACGTGATCATTTATTTATTGAATATACTTTGTATTATTAATCTAAATCTGCAAAGTAACCCAGTCACTAACTGTCAGATGGAAATACATTTTACTCCAATGCATATAGATGCAGTGGGGTAAAATGTATTTCCATCTGAAAAGTAATGGAGTAAATATATTATATATAATAAAATGGAAATAATCAAGTAAATTACAGCCACATGAAAACTGTATTTAAGTACTTCACTTGAGTACTCTGGTTTGCAGTGCATTTGTGAGGAGCATGGATACAGTTTGCAAAGGATGCACATGATGTCTCTATACTGTCACCATAAATTATGCATATATAATACTTGCACTAATGTACGGTGGATATTTATATGTTTCCGTCTTTAGTTATTGCATATAACTTAGCCTTTAATTGGCCTTTGTTTTTTTTTAAACCTTCTGCTTTTGTAATTTGTGCAGAGTTTCTTATGCAACACACATTTCCTCTTTGGGAATGAGCTATCATCTGTCAATCCATGTATCAATCCATAAAGAAAGGTAAAGAAGGCATCAGTAGGCATAATCAAAATGAAGACCTTTTTTTGCTGTCCTTAGTATTTCACTGTGAAGACTCAATAATTGTTTTTGATTTGCTCATTTTCACAAGTAGAAGACAGTAGAAAGGTATCAAACAGCCATATGCTGAGATTCTTGGCTGACAACATACTGTATAAGAGTCCATATTCCAACATTTTATTTCAAGTGATCTTAACCAATTAATTGGTTAAGGTCAACAAATGGAAACACAGCGCCCCCTGTTGGGCAAACATAAACCTTCACTAGATGAATAAGATGCAGCTGTTTTTATTTTTCTCCTATCAACCATTCGGGCCACTACTCGTTGTTGTTGTTGTTATGACAGGAAAATTAAAGGAATGAAGCAGAAGGCGGAAGGATGTGTTCTGATGTAATGCAGATTTCAGTAAACTGCTGACTAGGGTTTTTGCCTGCTTAGTGCTGCACATTATGCCAGCCATTAGACTGTCTCTGGCATATCAAGCCGAAGTGGCATATCAAGCTGAAGCTAGCATACTCTGTCATCTTTTTAATGAATAACTGATCTGACAGAATGATCTACATTCTCTGAGTGAGCTGGCTCAGTTTGTATGCTTGGGATGCACTCGTGAAAGCACAGAAATGTATTAAAATACTTAGATAAGTTTATTATATGCTGTCGGAGGGATCGTTCTTGCTTTGTGCAACATACCTCATCATCAGCTGTACTTGATAAGTTATCAAACTGAGGCCCTGAAAGTCAAGGGTTGATATTTACACTGGCCTTCATTATGCCTGCTCTCTTGTGCTCTTGCTTGCACAGCAAAAAAACCACACCCATATAATAAGTGCAAAGTGCTTGCAATGTGTGTGCGCTAGTGTGTGGGTGTGTTTGGTCGAGGGGAAGGAGTGGAAGAAGTGGAATACCTTCCCTTAGGCTATGATAAAGTCACAGAGGGAAGACAATGAACTCCTAAGCAGTGGCAGACTTGTCAGGACAGGATAGGCCTCACAGTACAATCAGACTAGGTCTCTTTGGATTCCTTGGTTTTCATTGACAAGCTACATTCAGCCAGTCAGTAGTGTCATTTAAATTAGCCTTGCAGTTGTCAACTCAAAGGTCATTTACACAATTTGGCTTCAAGAAATTGGCTTTACAGTGCAGTGGGCTTCTCTGACATTAAACACAATGGCTTGTTAGTTTTTATAAGGAAGTGGGATGGAAAATGTGCAGTAATGATGAGACACTTTGCACATGTAGATGCTTGCCACATGCGATTTCATTCAGTTTGACAAATGACTGACATCCATCATGTTAATTTTGATTTCATTATTCAAGTCCCACAGGTATAATGGCCAAGCAGTATAGCTCTTTGCTGCTATCTATTGGCTACACACCACGGCACAGACCAAACGCTGTCATTCTACTTTGTGCCACACAGTGATGCTCATGAACTACTGATCATGTCTATATCCTGGAGCTCAGCTTCATGCACTCTGTTGTGGTTTATTTGCAGCAGTGTATGGGCAGGTAGAAGGAGTGCTGATGAAATGTAATTTGAGAGGGATTAGCCTAATGTAACAGAATCTGCATTAACAATGATGAAATTGCTGTTTTCTTGATGAGATTCACTGAAACAATATACCCGAGCAAAGGAATTTAGATTTGACTATGACAAGGCCTATGAGAAAAATCAATACAAATATATTTACCAAATTATTCTATGTTTAAGAACTTGTCATATACTTTATAGAAACTTAATACCGCTGCTTAAGTGATAAGTATTCACCTAAATTGAAAAAGATTTATCAAAATAGCAATTAGGCATCAATCAATCACCAGGATAGAAATGTATAATGAATGTGGGAAGGTTTTTACTGATTCACACTGGGATGTCTCACGCTGGGCTTAGGGTCTGATTAGGTCTGCTGTGGGCTGGACACAGTTCACAGTAGACAGGGCAAAGAAAGGAGAAGCGAGACAGTTTTGTAAGCTGAGTGTCAGTAGGAGCTGGGAGAAGAACAGTGTTTGATCTCTGCGACGGTGGGCGTGTGATGCAGAGCTCAAACACAGTTTAAGGCTCTGTTAACCTTGGCCAGCGGTCAGGCCCCTCCGTCTGTTTCACATCTGAGAGTTGGAGAAAGACAGGGGATCAGTGAGGCTTAAACAACTGAATACATTTAACTGAGAAGGAGGGAAAAATACCTTCGCAACAATCGGGGTATTCTGTCTTTAGCCCCTTTGTTAACATACAATAGTGATTTTTCAAGTGAGCTTTTCATGATGGAATTAAAATGGATGGCTAGATGTATCACTGTGGGGGTTAGACACAAGTCAGTGGAGATTGAAGATGGGGGGGCGTTGGACAAAGATGTGTAGGTCATAACCTACTCGATACTGCATTCGAATAGAACACTCTGTCACTGCCATAAACAAACACATACTGACAAGGTCAGGAAAAATTAGACGTGGTCGATGACACAAATCATAGAAAAACAAACAGAGCTGCATGCTCTTGCCGATATGCACATAAACTAATTAGTGCATATTAACACAAATCCTAAACATATACAGTAGGCTTTATATGAGAACGGGAGCACACATATTAATATGACTGTGTGCACACATTTGTGGATGCATACACACTCTAACAAGTAGGAATTATTTATGTGCTGAGACAGGCATTGTTGTGCTGCTCTTTGGAGCGCTACAGGGCGGCGGCTCTGGCTTTTGGAAAGCACAGCTGCTTGCCTTTCAAGATCGTTTCGACCTAGCACCATGACAGTGAAGGCTTTGCTCCCCAAACTCCCTCTTCTCTTTGTTGCTTTCTCTCTCCTCTCACTATTTGTCATGGTGGGGGGTTGACCCATCTTCATAGTAGGACCTTCCACTCTACTGTGCCAGTCCCTCCAGTGCTCCTGATTGACATTTAGCTCCAAGACCAGGGTAAAGAGGGCCAAAGAGCATCAAATGAGACTGGCTGCAGGGGTGCACCACTCCCTGTGTTGCACCTCTACCTCCATTAGCCACTAGAGTCCCTGGGGCTTGCAGGCACCTTCAGCCTGAGGGGTGAGCTCGCGGCTCTGGGTGTAGAAGCACAAAGAGCACAGGAGTCTATAGGCCAAACCTGTGATGTTGTGACAGAGAGAACAATTACACTTCTTCAGATTATCATCTTAGCAGTAAGACTCAGCTTCCTTTCCTCCTCCTACTTTCCACTTTAGAGTTCTAAAGGTCAAAGTTCATTCTTTCATTTATGCTGCACAGCAGGTCTGAGGCATTTAATAGGTGTTTGAGTTGTCTTGCTTCTGTGAAACTACTTTTTTTTTTGACAAATATATAATCTAATATGACTTCTTTCTTTAGCTATGTGTGCCTCATGCTTAAGATTGGTTTTGTAATGTTAAGTAATTTGATCACACATACGTTTTGGGCAATTTAAATCCCACTCAGTAAAATGTGCCCTGTGGGTGACACAAATCATTGCACTATTTCAGTGGGTAATATTGGTCAGTTGTACTGGTTGGTGTTATCAATGAATATGGTAGTTGGCCAGAATGCATCACTGTCTATTCACACTTGTTCAGCCCAGTTTTGACCAGAGCATGTTATTATGAACTAAAGTGGTGAAAAGTGAGACAGTCTGATATTTGGGTATCAGACTGAAGTTCATCCCAGATTCAGGGGTGAGGGGCTACTATACTGCTAGCCTGAAAGGCCCTGAAACATGGCTTGACTAGATAACCAACTTACAATCCACACAAGGGCCTTTTTATAGGATCAGTGATTAAGGCTGTGAGTAATTGAATTAGAATTGTGCTGCCCCAAGCTAAAGCCGCCTAACAGAGACTTGGACAGAATAAGATGAGGAAGTTTGTGGGTAGGGTAAAAGAGGTGCAGAGGAGCAGAGCCCACACATTGTTTAACTTATAACAGATGATTACAGGTTTGAGTCATCAAAAAACACAGTCATGCACCATGAAGTAAAACTTATTTTAAAGGTTTTTATACATCAAAGCCCAAATTTACAGTTCTACACTGTACACAGCAGCTTCAGTTTGTCTGTGTATGTGCATAATATATGTGGAGGTCCAAAATAAGCCCATTCA